CTTGATAATAGTAATAGATAATTAATAAGTAGGTAGCTACAATAGGGCAAACCAACAACCTGTCAAAATGAAATTTAAAATGGAGGCCAATGCCTTTTTATTTAAAAAAAATCCGTTTTATTGCTATTTTTGATTTGTATAAAGTCTGTAAAGTGTTGATTTTTTCGAAAATGCATACTTACGTTATGTATTGTACTTAGTTGCGGGAGCCGTTTTAATCACGAGAAAGTCTAGTTTCATGTCGTTCCTGCAGAGACAAAACACAGGGTTTTAACGGAGAAAAATGATTCGTCTGTACTTTGTGAGGGCTTCATGGATTGTAGCAAAAGAGAAAAAATCTTACGAAATCCATATTAAAAAACCACAAAGCCTGTCTACATAAATGGTATATAAATCCAAGCCATTATTATCCTCCACATCAGCTTGTGTCGATAACTTGAATAGCAGACAAATAAAATAAATATCAGGAATCAGGATTCCGGATTTGGTTAAGAAAAAACTAAGCAGGAAGAAAATCCTGGATAGGTTTGTCCAGGGACGCAAGTATAGGGGGGAGACCGTCCCCCCCAACGGTCAACCAGTTGGGACAGTTGGGATATCGCGTACAAGTTGGGAGAATCGGTACATTTGAAAAAATAAATATTCACAGGGAAAATAACACAATATTTCAAAAAAGTATTAAAAAATAAAAAACAGCCTGAAAAAAACGCACGGTGCGGTGCCGACTCCGGGCGCGCTGGAAAATGCCCTTAGAAGTCTTGGGCATTAGGGACTTTCCACTAGTTTCGCCAATCGACCAATAATATTTTCAAGTTGGTAGGATTTTATTTTTTTTGCATTTTCATCAACTGGCAACACTGCGTATCTAGCGCCGTAACGGTAGCGCCGGCGTCAAAGTTTCGTTTACGCCGTCGCGCGATTTTATTATTCATCTTGTGTCAAATACAATACTTATTTGCGCCCATTTTCATAAAATAATTTATTATGGAGATTGGTGGTGATAAGAAGCAGTCGTGTCAATCTTCTAATAAATAGAGAAACATGCCAAAAATGTGTCACTCTGAAAAAATTAAGCTCGCTTTTATTTGCCTTTTTTGTATCATTATTGTGTACAAAGGTACCTTGTTCCATATTCCAGAATTTTTTTTTATCCAACATATGACAGTTATGACTGTTAATGTCATTTTAGACAAGTAAACTATCAAATAACACACTAGTGTATTATAATCCATAACTCACTAGTGAGTTATGGATTTTAACTCCACGTTCATATTTAAAGTAGTATTCTATTTATTTATTACTATTATTAGCAAAATTCACATTGATATTGAAATTAAAGGAGAACGTTAACGGTTTATTCGAATTTGAAGTCATTGTAAAATTCGTTGGTTCATTGGAACCAGACGTTCCCATTTCGGTACAATGCTGTAAGACGCCGACCCGCCGACGCATAGAGAACCTTGTATTTTTTTTTTGTATTATCTCATAAAAAAACGATTTCTTCTACTTGTTGGATAAAACATTGTATGCCACTCGTGTGTTATGTTTCCTAAGTCACTTGAGAATTTATACCACTCGGCCTGATGGCCTCGTCGTATAAATCTTTCTCGCGTGACTTATTTTCAATATAACACACTAGTACCATAAATAGGTAACTATTATGTTCCTTTTGTAATTACCACATTTGAAGCAAATTAAAAAAAAAATCATGTAGGTACACGTGGTAGATGGTAGAACTGGTAGAAGTGAAACTTCTTAAAAACCAGAGAATGGGAGAGATTGAAGGTGCGAGAGAGAGAGAGAGAAAGAAAGAATTTCAAAAGAAAAAACACAGTACAGTGTGGTCATTTTATCTTGATAACATTTCAAATTGTCCAATTTCTTTATTTTTGAAGTTATTTAAATAAATTTAAAAAAAAGCACTCACAAATATGTAATGTATAAATAAAGGACATAATGAAATAATCACAAAGCACAATGATAATAGTATAATAAAAGAGAGTCGCGCATCTGTAGTGACGTCACAATGTTTTCGGCGCTTGTCAATAATAGGCAATCCTCTTTGTGCTTATGTCGTATCCGATTCGTACATTCAGTGCGCACTGAGCGTATTTGCATCCTTTAAATCGACCTGTAGAAGAAAAAGACAGAAATAAAAAAAATTGCACTAGTTCCGCATTAGATCTACCAATCGGAAATGCGATTATAATCCTTGGTGTGTGTCATTAACGGCGCTTGTAAATAATAGGCAATCCTCTTTACGCTTATAGTCCTTGGTTTGTGTAAATCACTAGCCCAACTATCTGTCTTCCTTCGCCTCTTTCTCTTTACGTTATAGCTTTCTTTTCTCTCGAGTAACGAAATTTAATCGTGACGCGTTTTTCAAATCATTCTTCATTGTCGTCCAAATATCACATGGCCGCTTAAGAAGTTTCACTTCAAAAAAATCATCTGTAACTAATTTTCATAGCCCAATAGTTGGGATTTTTAAGAGAGATCAGTTGGGAGATTTTACCTACGCCACCCCCCCCCCCCCCCCCCAATAATATGTCTTCGGGACGTCCCTGGGTTTGTCACAAATACAGTGGCTAAATAAACCTTTACATACAGTGGCGACAATAGAGGTTTCGCCGCCATCTTGTTCCCAACCTCTTGTTACTTTTAAATATTAATATATAGGATTTAAATGAACATCTATCATAAAAAATTGAAATCGACGTATTTGATGACCATTATTAGGTCCATCAAATACGTTGTTTTCCATGATTTATGATAAATGTTCAATGTTCACCTAAATCCCATATATTCATATTTAAAAGTAATAAGGGGTTGGGAGCAAGATGGCGATGTTTTCAATATAAATATATGGGATTTTAGAACCAATCAAAAATGAGACAGCAATTGTCGCCACTGTGGGTTATAGAGTCACTGTAGTCACAAAGAAATCATAACTTTTGCAAACATCCGGATTTTCCACTAATAATATCTTAAACTAGCAACTTTCCATCTTAAAATACGAAAATTATCTTTCCAAACACTAGAAAATCATCTAAAAACACCACCAAATACACAAAAAACAGTTTTTTGATGAAAAATGTCACGGCGCCAATTTTTTGGCATTGACCATGCCATTGACCGCCATTTTGTTTGGATTGCCCTATTGAAAAATAAGTGATTTTTTAAAATTTTTAATTTTTTCCAACTTTTAAAAAAAATTCGTAAAATCGGGACATAGCGTCCCGACGTATAGTCCATCGGGACACGGGACAAAATCTCGAATATCGGGACTGTCCCGTTAAAATTGGGACGTCTGGCAACCCTAGTTCCGTGCTGTTTGGAAACGCAAATTGGCGTCAAGTCGTACTTGAGCCAAGACGCAACCTTGAGCATCGACTATGAATACGGGCCTAATAAGTACGCACTACCTACGTTTTTGTTGTCGATTTTTTATTCCTTTTCAAGATATGAGAGGCCCTTCGCAGTTTAAATTTGAAAGTTCTTTAGGTAAAGGCTTGAGCGCTTTTTTTGATTCACCGATGGAAGCATCGATGAATAGTCTATCTTTGTCTAATTCATACAAAATCGGAATGGCTGTCTCATAGTGGTGGCAGCAGATGGATCCATCGATGAATAAAAGAAAGCGCCCCTTTAAGGCGGTTACACACGGACGTGGATGTCTGAAAACATGTACGCACATACATGAACGTGCAAACAAAAACATCAATGTGTATGCAAAATACCGTCGCATTTTTGAATGTGCAATTTTGTATGCACACTCGGAATACTGTAGCAAGAATAACAAGACTGCAGTTTTGTGCGAGCGTCTGTAGAAAAGCGCCATGCACGTTCTTGTTTGCACGTTGATTTATGCACGTATATGTATTAAGCCATCCACGCCCGTGTGTAACCGCCTTTTTACCAATTTGTTTTTTAATGAAAAAAGTACACACAGCGTTGTCAGATTTTAGGTTTACTATCGTATGACATTTTGATCGAAGTGTGGCGAATTTGGCATTTTGTTCAATCTGTATAGTTCCGTATATGTAATATTTCAACCAACTTCTTGGTTTGGTGTCCCAAATATATCAATTTCTGAAAAAGTGTCAACTTACGGGACATGGTTTTCCTGGAAGCTGATAATTTATCTGTCACCAAAATAACCAAAATGTCGCAACCGCTTGTTACCGACTGCTGAGTGAAAGTCAAAATACGGACCAATATTAAATGGGATGCCCTCCCCTCGAAAGCAAGTGCAGGTTGAACATGACCCACTGGTTGTCACGTACCGGCGCTCGCATCGAACACCTAGGACTCCGGAGTTATATTATAGGTCTGTTCCCACAGGAGTCTCTGACAGTTTGCAACCTGTCAGAAACAATCGCTCAGCTGAAGTACAGATTAATCTTGGAACGACAGCATAAAAAACATGTATGGGCGATGCTTACTGACAGTTTGCAAACTGTCAAAGACTCCTGTGGGAACAGACCCTAGGACGGGCCTATTCGGGTTTGGAAAAAGTACGGTTCTAGAACGGTCCAAAAGAATCGCACAGTTTATTATTGAAATTTGTGATAGCCGAGTCGTTGTCATTTTGTTGATCAATAAGCTGTACGATTGTTTTGAACCGTTCTAGAACTGTCCTTTTTCCAAACCCGAATAGGCCTGACAAGTACACACAATCACACAATCCATGTATTTAGGTCTGTTTCTGCAAAAATCACAAACCAGTCAGAGCGAATTTCATTTCACTCTGACTGGTTTGTTGAAACAGACCTTTTATTATAATTAAATTGTTTTTGCTGTTTTGCTTGGTTTGAACGCAAACACGTAACTTTTTGGATGTTGATGGACACCACAGTATTATAAAATTAGAAGAAATCACCGTTGTGGACTTCAAAACACAAAATTCCAATACTGACAACTACTTTGTCCACTTTTTCGAACACGGAACACGTCCCTGCTAACCTCAAATTTTTTTTTGGGCTTGTCAAAAATTCGATTGATTCTCCAGTTCCTTACAATACAACAATCCTTCTAATCAAGAGCAAAATCAAATAATAAAATGCAACATTTCAAATAAAGTTAACACTAAGATTGAGAGGAATGTATCCTAACATTCCCTAAAGTACATAATAAATTCGATTTTTCTCGATTCTAAATATTATGGCTGGTGGTACTGGCAGCAACAATGTTGAAATTGAATGGCTAAGGAGTTTGGGAGATGCACAAGAGTTTGGGGCCACACTTTCAACGGTCCCTGAAAACCAACCAGGGCATTTTGACGAAATTGAAAGGCCGCCCGTTAGCAGCAGCACCCTGAAGGTATTCATACACATTTTTATTCATAAGTTGGCCATTTAATTTTTTTTTTTTGTAGAGGAACACAAAAATGGAGTTATCCAAAAGTGACCTGTTGAAGCTTGTTACATGTTTTGAGGGCGAAATTCAAGCACGTGATATTGTTATTGCAGCATTAAAGGTAAAAAGTAGTTGTTTTTAGGGATGTACATTAAAATAAAGCCAATATAATTTCCTGCAATAGGGACAGTACCTACCCTAATTGGAATCAAGACAAATTAACTATATAATATTGTTTATGAGGAACATCATACTTTTACTATTTTTTCAGATCATGATCAAATACTTTATAGGTTTGATGTTGGAGAAATTTTGCCAACTTTTTCTATTTATTTAATAAAGGACTTGCCCCTTTACATTCTCCCTAATATGATTACGTTCATAGGCTAAAAAACTACAATAGATGTTTATGTATATCACCAGTAGTATTAACCTGGCAAAAAACTTACGTCATTACTTGCGTTAGGTCAAATCGACCGACTGCTCAAAAGTTTATATATGAATTATTAGCTTTTATCGCGGAGACGATCCCAAACGTATCCTGAACGCTAAGGCATGACCTAGGCAGGTTACTAATCAATAGAGACATGAAACTTTCAAATATTACCTGTGTAAGTCATGCCTGAGCGTTCAGGATACGTTTGGGATCGTTTCCGCGATGAAAGTGTACAAGCACTATAATTTCTAGAATTCATAATCATTACAAAGGGAATTATACAGGGTATTCCATTTGGAACGAAACAGGCTAAATATCTGATGCCACGTTTATTTTTTTTTAAATCACTCGTACACATAATTTGATTTTTAAAGGGGGAAGTTTTCTGCAACTATTTTTAGAACTTCAACTTCAACCCTCTAGGCGGGATGGGACCAATCCTAATTTTTTTAAATGGAACAAGGGGTCGAGTGATACCTCTTCTAAAAGAGCATTCAATTCTCTTTCATTTGATGTCATCTGAAAGAAAATTGAACGGTCTTCTGAAACAGATATCACTCGACCCCCTATTCTATTTGGAATGGTAAGGGTTGGTCCCGCACTCCCTAGAGAGTTAAGTTATTGCTGAAAATGTTTTAAACTCTCACAATCAAATTACGTGTACGAGCGATTTAAAAAATAAAATAAAAGTGGCATCAGATATTTAGCCTGTTTCGTTTTAAATGGTATACCCTGTATTATGCAGTACATCTTTTTATCCATGGTTGGTCTTTTTGACAGACACGCGTGTACTCCTGGGTTAACAAAGCTTGACAGACAAAAATCAAAATACTTGTATTTATCTAATTAATCAAAAATATGATAAATAAAAAATCAATGAATTGGATTCACTAGGCCTTTTAAATTCAGTTCAGTCTAACTGCTGTCTTATTGCTCACTATATCGATTCAAATAACTTAGCAAAAATACTAAACTTAAAAATTAGCCTATAACTTTCAACCAGATGCCTATTTGCTATCCTATCATCATTCTTGAAAAATTGGAGTTACATGAGAAACCTTCCATTGTGAGGGGAAAGTTCCAGATGTTATAGATAACTGTAAAACTTTACTAAAATTTCAGACAAACATATTTGTACTCCTTAATAAGTTTTACAGGTAGTACATCTGTGACAAATTTGTGCCAATATTCATAATTGAGTTGAATGCATCCATAACAGTTATATTACAGGTATCAACATCACGCGTTCTATCACAATCAACCTCTGGTACATCACAGTTTATTCTCCCATAAATAGGCCCAACATGATCTACAAAAAACTGAATAATTTTCAGGGGCTCATGTGTAGTTATACCATCAAAACTCATACAATTTGGCAAGTCAGAGTTACGATTTTTTAGAAATGTTCACATTGTCCCACTATCGCCTTCTTAAATCAGGGAATTCCCTATAGAATTGTGTTTTATGTGTTCTCTTCCACTTTACATGTACCCTCTTCTTGCTCAGAATAGTCGATTTCAGCTCGTGACTATACCAAACAGAAGACTTTTTATTCCTAGATCTTTTTTCTGAAACACACATTTCTATACCTCTATAGAGGATGGAATAAAACTATTGAACAGCTGTCTCAACATTTTCTCCATTAAAGCAAACCAGGAAACTGTTCAGTTGGAGATAATTTGCATGCTGAAAATCAGAATATTTTCTTTGTGATAAGTTTTGATTATTAAGAAAAAATCACACTTTTAAGTTATAGGTATGATTTTTTGTTTTAAAATGCTGCTTATAGTAACCTAAAATTTTAAAAAAATTTCCTTTTTTTTTAAATAAAATAGTCAGATGTAAGCAGCAGGTCGCAATTTGAACAGGAATATTCTAAAATTTAGTGCCTTCAAATAGGATTCAGTTAGGTAAGTATTGATCAGAAAGGTCGGATGTATACTGAAATTTGGTTAAATTAATTAATTGTCAGAAAACCCATGAAAGATGTGTGTGAGGTCCTATTGAATTAAATCTGCTGAAATATACATTCTAATCGCCAAATTTATTTTCAGTCTGAAAAACTAAAGCAAGTAGCTAGCTTAGGAAGATATAGACCAGCAGTTATGACCGATCCGTATACAGCATTACTGCGGGATAGTCTTTCAGATAGCCCCAACTCAAAACCACCTGTAAGTGAAAAAGATATGCAAGCAGCTGCAGAATATCAACTTCAAGTTCTGGAACAATTTGTTATGCAGCAGCGATGGGCTCATCAACATATGATTAATATTTTGAAAGAGGCTGAAATTAAACATAAAAAGGTAGAGTAATGAAAATACAGTAATATATAGGGTGGTCCAAAAAAAACCGGAATTTTGTTTTTGAGCTGTAACTTTTTTATTTGTTGACCAATTTTCTTTTGTTTTGGCTTGTTTGAAAGAGAAATAAACAGACTAACGAATCAGGGTGAAACTTTTGACATTTGAAAAAAATCCAAAATGGCGGACTCTTTCAAAAATTGCCAAATAAAAAAGTTACAGCTCAAAAACAAAATTCCGGTTTTTTTTGGACCACCCTATATATATATATATATATTTTTTAAATAAAATATTTAATTGGTAGGTAATACAAGATTTAGAAGAAGAAAAATGTAAGCATGAACATGATACAGCTCAAGGAGATGATATCACATATGGGCTTGAGATGGAGAGAACTAGATTAAGGCAAGAACTAGAAATGGAAAGAAACGCACGGAAAAAGCTTGAAAAAGAAGTTAAAAGACAAATTGAGATAGCAGATGAAGAAAGAGCGCGACAAAAGCAAATTGTTCTATTACTTTTAGCAGAGAGAAAAAAAATTATAGTAAAATACATCGAAGAAAGAAAAAGAAGTGAAGATTTAGCACAAATTTTATCAGAAGAAAAATCAAGAATTGATACAATGGCTGAAGGATTAGAAGAAGAGAGCAAAAAATCGTTGCAAATGGAAGCCGAAATTGAAAAACAAGCCCATGAATTTGAAATGGAAAGAAAAAATTTTAAATCTCAAATTGCAGCTTGGGATCAAAGAATGTTAGAAGCAGAGAGGGAAAGAAATAGGTTAAAAGCAGAATGTGATGCATTAAGACTAAAACTCCAACTATCTGATAGTGGCTCTGCCATTATTAGTAGTGTTGCTAAAGTAGTGCAGCCTACTGCTACTGTATCAAGCGTTCCTGTCTCTGGACCAAGTAAGTAACTATTAAAACTGTTCTCTATTGGTATTAGACTGAACTTATTTCAAAGTGGTGTCATGATTATATGTTTTTGCAAAAAATATTTATTCCAATTACACAAAACGTTTTATTGTTATTTTATTAAAATATGTTAATTTTCTTATAGCTACTGGAATTGCACAGTCTGTAACACCTGGACAGGTACTTAGACAAACTGCTATTGCAGCGTCATCAGTTGCCAGTAAGGTTAGTTATATTAGTATCTATTGTTTTAAATATCTTTTGTTACATACGAAAAAATCCTATCTGTCAAAGAAGTCAATTTTGTGCTTAGATTATATAAATTAACACATGATATTATTATTTCGATTGAAGCTTCTCATAGGCTGGGTCACTTTTTTTAACTGATCAGGACCCACATATAAGAAGCTTTTATAGTATAAAAGTTAAAATTTGCTATGCAGTCATTGTCATATTTTGACATACATATCAAAGTTTGGCAGCGTTTGTTGTCAACAACATTTTTTTCTGCTGATCATTTGATCACATGACGTAATATTACAGCATATGTGTTGACATCTCTGATCCTTCCTATCTTTTTCTATACAGAAGTTATCAAACTTTACGCAATTGTCACAAAGTGACATATTTTGTTTAATTGGTTAAGCCGAAAAATGCCAGTAGGAAACCTATCTCAATGATACCTACTAACCTTTTAAATTGAATTTTTGCCTCATTATCAATTAGTTATGAGGTAATTCTTTTCTAGATGGTTGCTGGCAGTTCAGGAGTAAGTGACTCTTCTACAATTAGAGCAGTTCCGAAAGCTTCCTATCATTCGCATCTGCAACAGCAATCAACAGCACCACAAACTCCTCCTAAGAAAGGTGCAGCTGCAAGAGGCGTACCCCCACCAATTCCTCCAAACAAACCGGTGATTCCTAGTAAATCATCTGCTTCCCGGAGGCCTGATAGTGGAGAATCGGAGAAAAAAAAACCAAACGTCTGCCCTAAAGAGATAGAACAACAAACGCCTCAGCAACAAGGAGGGCGAACTGGCCAAGGCATAGAGTTGCTCGGTCAGGAATTGGCCGATTTTCAACAAATGTTTGTGACTATGGCAACTAGTAATACTACTTAAAATTATCTCTCTTAGGAAATATAATAAGTTGTTTGTGTTGTAGACTTTTGAGGCTGGTAAAGTTTCTAAAAGGTTGAATCAGCCATCAAAGTCCACATCTTGTGATAATTACTAACTTAGAAATTAATACTCATTAATTTTAATATTTAGAAAAACTTGGCAATTTTCTTCTACAGAGGTAAGTACGTTAAGTTTTTTATTTTTAACCATATACAGTGTGTCCACTTAAGTTCGCAGTATATGGGAAACTTTTTTATTATCAATTTTACGAAAAAAAGTTACTCTCTATAAAAGTTTCTGCTTCTTGGAAAAATAATATTAAACTACTGAAACTTGAAATAGCATGTACAGGGTGGTCAAAAAATAGAAAAATATACAGGGTGTTTCCCAAGGCCGGTTTGTAACATCAGGATGTCATTTCTTACAATATTTTTAGAAAAAAAGTTTCCATAAACATGTGTCCGGAAATGCGTAGTTTCTGAGATACAGGGTGTCACAGTTCTAGAAAAAATCGTTTTTGTAGCTCAAAATCAATTTTCCAATTTTTTTTTTTCAAATTTGGCAGGTCTGTGAGAATAAAAGGTATCTTTTGACTGTAATATAACTTGCTGAATCTGAAAAAAATATCAAAGGTTTTAAAAAAATAGTGACGTGCCATTTTTTTTCTACTTTTACCGTTTTTTACCAAAAAATTTTGTATATTTTTCTATTTTTTGACCACCCTGTACAAGCTATTCCAAGTTTTAATAGTTTAATACTATTTTTTCAAGAAGCAGAAACTTTTATAAAGAATAACTTTTTTCCGTAAAATTGATAATAAAAAAGTTTCCCGTATGCTGCGAACTTAAGTGGACACACTGTATAAAATGTTGACATTACTGACTTTTTAAAAATTTGAAAATGTCACATTTCTGTCTTTTCATTTTCCTGCTTCATGTCTCGTCCTAGGACGGAATATGGAGCAGGAAAATATTTCACGTTCTCATTTCTCTACCTCATTTGGTTGTCACGAATTTGTTTTTCAAGAAATTGTGGTTAAAAATAAAATAGTATAAAAACCTCGACGGGAAACTTCATTGCTGTCTCGAGCTATAATAATATATCCTCTTGACCAGGAATGAAGCATTTCCCGCCTCGGATTGTAATATACTATTGGTATTTATTGGGTAAGGCAAAAATAATTTTTAGAAAAAGTCATAATAGATGATTTTGCTTATTGGCACTGTTCATAACCAGGGTGTTCATCAAAAACTTTTATCTTATCCGTGTCGTTTAAGAGCATTGTATACAGGGTGGCAAAAAATGATACAATTAAAATGTTAACTTAACATTTAAAAATACTTTTAGCCTATAAAGTAATGGCTCTTATTAAAATTTTATTGGTCTATGAAATAAACTGTTAATATGTTATTTATTTTTGATATTAACCCTATTGTTGGTCTATCAGGTGTTGATAATTTAAAAAAAAAAAATATTATTTGAAGGTTTCTGTTTTGGAGGCTAGTAAATTTTTAATTTGGGACATTATTTTATTGGCTGACTGTACCTATTATTATATACATACATAAATAACGTTTTATGTAAGCTTTTTTTTTTCTTTTTTTGAATAGGCTTGTAAATTTTTTGCTTACTCCAGTAGTGACAACCTAATCTTGGACTTGCAGCTTTTTCAACTAGAAGTAAGATAATAATTGAAAATTTCACCCCCAATGAAAGGTTTCTAGAATCAATGAGGCAAGTAAAGTACGTGTTTCTTTGAGGGAATATTTCCAAGATCATCCAGTGAACAAAACCTGGAATCCGAGTAATTTAATTATATCGATAATAATTATCGATGAATTAACGCCGACAATAAAAATCTAGTGTACCGTAACAGTTTCTTCAAAATTTTACTTACAAAAGTATAAAAACCACCAATTTAAAAAGTGACTTAACTGTGTGATCAATTCAAAAACTTTCCTTCTTTTTTTTCGTTAGTAGTAGCTAAAACTAGAATTAGAATCTGCTTGTACCATTCCTCATACATAATCCTCTCCTTTTCATAATGACGCGCTGCTTTTATTACATTTTATGTTATTTTTATAGTCTCTCACAACTGGAATTTTTAAAAATATTCGTCTTCCTTGGAAAAATTCGCAAACTTTCTTCCACATCTCCATGATTCAAATTCAAATAGAGGACGCTAGACCAAACCCAATAATAAATATCTGGATCAGAAAGTTTACTGCCAATCGTCTTGTCGAATTGCCTCGAGAACTTTGGTAGCTACTGAATAATACTCTTAAATAAACTTTAAATACTATCACGGCTCACGGCTCTGGGGTGTGTTACAGAAATCTTGGGTTCGTTTATTCCAAAATCAAAGTCCAATTAACACAACAATATTTTATTCCACGTTACTACACACTCTGACACTAATTACTTCACTAATTAACTCAAACAACTTAACTCTTACAAAATTCACTATCTAAATCGTATGATAGTCAATCTTAAACTCAAAAACTACTAACTAATACCGGCCTTTATATATCCGTAATCAATTCTTATATATTCCAGAATAAACGTGATAATCTCGTTGCCCGTATAAAGCAGTCTTTTCTGGAATTTTAGGCATGGATTCTATATACCATGGCGAAAGCCAATCGCGACACTGTCCTCCTCCTCGGACAAGGGCTTCGCTACTTTTTCTGAATTTAGACATTCTCAGGTTATCCTGGATCTTGGAATCTCTGAGACCATCAATGAACGCAGATACTGCCATTCATTCCTGCATGTTTTTCCCAGCTACAGGAAACGCCAAACTCACTAGCCTTTTAACTTCCGATTCGAATTCTTGTAAACTCTGCCGGGTTTTTGAATTCTTGAATTAACTTGACTTCTAAATACTTCTTGCCTGTAATGGTCTCCGAAGCGCAATTCTAACGTCTGACTTAGATGCTGGTAATTCTGTTGATAAATTGTAGGAATGGACTGAAGAAGATCTAAGGCAGGTCCTCGTACAGCCACTATTAGTGCTGTAGCTTTTTCTTGATCGTTCCATCCGTTGGTATTTGCAGCAGCTTCAAATTTTCGAATATACATGGTTCAGGAATTCAGGACGTAGAACCGTCAAAAGTTGGTGGTTTTATCTTCGTACTAGAGAATGATGCTCCAACACTACCTGGACTGATGTACTGCATTTCTAATTTATTCATCTTACCTTCAAGTGCTTGAACTTGGTCCTCAACTTCTTATCTTAATTGCTGGACATCGGCTTTGACCTCAGCTTTTACTTCCTGAACGTCGTTTTTAACTTCTCGCACATCGTCTTTAACTTCGGATTTTAGGTACTTCCGTAATTTTTTGTTCTAGGTTAGCGACTGTAACGCATAGAGATATTTTCTCTATCTCTAGAATAGAATAGAATGTCCTAGAATTTTCTTGAAATGTCTTTTCTGAATGTCGATTGATATGGCAAACACCTCAGTGAAGTCACAAATTCGATATCTCCCTCGGTTTCCAATTAGAATTTTCTAGAACTTACTTGAAAATTCACTATCACAGTCAAAATCAGGTATACAGTCATTTCTGGGGTAATTTACACAATCGGTTAAGTCTCTCTTGGTCACTGCTTCCACTGACTAACTGTCCCAGTGTTCACTTAAGTATCCACACTAGTGTCCGCAGTGGTCCGCACCATTCTGCAATGGGATTTCACTTTGCAGTCCTCAAATTATATCGCACTTCTGACACCAATGTCACGGCTCTGGGTTGCGTGACAGAAATCTTGGGTTCGTTTATTCCAAAATCAAAGTCCAATTAACACAATAATAATTTATTCCACGTTACTACACACTCTGACACTAATTAAATCAAACAACTTAACTCTTCACAATAATCACTATCTAAAACGTATTACAGCCAATCTTAAACTTAGAAGCTAGCTACTAACCAATATCGGCCTTTATATAGCCCTAATCCATTCTTATAAAATCCAGAGTAAACGCGATTATCTCTTTGCCCGAATAAGGCAGTATTTTCTAGATTTCAAGTTGGATTCTCTACACCATTGCGAAAGCGCATCGCGACAATGTAGATTCTGTATTATATGGTACTTAGATATGGTATGTACTTAAAAATATGGATGTTTCGATATTATGCGTAGGTATTATTTTAACATGGTGATTAATTATTATAAAACTAATCTCCAAAAAGGGGTTATTATTATTTGGAGGAAATAAAAAAATAGGTTAAAGGTTTTATACATTTCATTTGTGGAGTTGTGACAAATTTTCAATCATCGCCCTTGTTCTCTGGCAGCTATTAAAAAAAAAAAACTGCTTATAGCTGAGATTAGGTTGTTCTGCATGATCCATTGTAAAAAAATTAAATGTACATAAATGGAAGCGAGTTGTGTGTAATTTTATAAAAACATATACCTACAAACTAAATTAAGTAGTGCAATTGAAATGTTGAACAATTTAAATTTACTTTTATTTGAATACAACCTATTTTAATTTAAAGCAGAATGTGTTATTCTAGTTTATTTTGCAAAAACATTTTGATTTGCAAAATAGAATAGGTAAGGTAAAGTAACCTCGTAATTTAATTGTAGTATAGGTGTGATGAAGTTTTTCCACATTTGCCACATATCCATAGTTTTTCATTTCTACTAGTCAGAGTGTCGTATGAGTTAAAACAATTGCTGCCAGCCTTCTCTATAGCAATACAATTTGTAGGACATTAAAAACTTATTTTTCGATTAATGAGCAAGATGCCTTTCCTCCCTGAAGTCATAGATGATTGTAAAAAAATGACCTCATTAATAAATATGTTGTGAATGTAATATCTAGAGTATCGTGAATGTGTAAATTTTGTAGAAATACACAATGTGTATATAAGGAAACATTTTCCATTCACTTGTCTCTTATATTTTTTGTAGTCAGACCACTTGACATAATGTAGGTAACAGCTTTAATTATTAGGATTAATACTCATTTTGTTTAAAATATATACATCACTTAGGTAATTTAATTATTATCAAAAAAGGGCATACATAATGACTTAAAAAATCATTTGTGGATCATAAGTACCTAATCTAGTTTTTGTTGTATTATTATTATTTTTAATTTATTTTTTTATTATAAGTAGGTATGTTTTACAATTATTTTAGCAAAAAAAAATAGATTTTGCTAATTTTGAATAATTTATGTTTTTTTTTGTAGAATTTAATTTTCAATCTGATTCTATCACAATTGGTCTTGGTTTTAGTCATTGAAATATAATATGTTAAAATACTTGGAATTACTGTTCAATGACTGCTTAAACTGTCACAAAAATCACAATGTCAAATTTCGTGAATCGTATCGTATCATGTGATAGCCAGGAACCTCATTGGCAAAAATCATTCAACTATTATATTTCTTGCTGCTTACATATTGGCTTAATATCCTAGTTCATTTTAGATATTCATAAACCAAATAGTCAATTTTGACAATTAAATTATTTCAAAAATAAATAATAAATACTGCGCTTCCGAATTCATAAAACGTCCTTTCAAAGTTACGATTGGCAAAAATATTTTTAATAAAAAAAATTTTGTAAAAATTAATCTTGACATACATGTTTACTAATTTATTGTTCAATTAAAAACATTTGACGGGTTCTATTGCGAATTATTTTATTCCTTAGTATGATATTGCTTCTAATGATCTCTTCTTGAATTCAAAACCAATACATAAAATATGAAATCGGATCCGTACTTGCATTGAATAATAATCAAGATCAAAAAACGCTGTTAGTGTTTAAGTGCGTATTATTATATGGTATTTATTTGCAAATAAATTTCAAATGCTAGATTTGTAGACTAGACAAATTAAATATATTAATGTTAGTAAGTGAAGGAAATGTTTGTTTTTTTTTTTTATTTTATAACTCGAATTTTGGAGGGTTCACATTCTGGTCACTTGTTGTGATCTGACGCATCGATTATTCTCTCTCTAGGAAAGGGACTGTGAGATTGTGGTCTAAACCTTGTTGAGTAATATACTTTCATTTCAAGATTTAACTATTTAATTAATTTTTGGCCGTAGTTCACATATCAGAACCACAGCTTGTCCCAATTTGTTTTTTAATAAAGTGTCAGGTTGTAACCTGAGCTGCTCAATGCTAGAGGATTTTGGCTTCTGCATAATAGGGTTCGATGATTTATGACAGTAAAGTCAAGCAATTTAATTTGAAATTTGATATTATGCTTACTCGGACGTGCAGAATCGATCAGATCAAAAAAAACCAAATTGATTAGATGCTGGATGGATGGAAACAATAATTGGATTCTTAAAATAGTTTTATTGGAAATTTTTATGAGTCGGTGGCTATTGCCAATTGGGAAAGTAGTTCAACAACAAGAAATTAAACTTTGGTGTTTACGTGGACGCTACTTTATTTGGATATGAAATTAAACAGGCCGGAATTGAAAAAGTGCCTGAAGGCACTGGGCAAAAAAAGTTAGTCGGAAATAAATGTACGGATCCCTTTCCTTTAACCCATAGTAGAAAAGAAAAAAAACAAATATTCCATGAATGTTTGAAAACGATTTTTCCTGACAAACTGCCAAAAAGTACCAATTGATATTGATGCAGGATCCTCCCGATTTCCAAGTTTCTTTTTATAATTAATTGAACTTTGATAAGCTATAATACCCTATGTATATTATATTAAAAGGATTACCTATTTCTGTCTTTCCTATCAAGTTACATTCAGCTACTCGGTTTCAAACTTCTCTTGAACCATTTTCATTTTTCTTGCGATTTTTTTTTCTGTCTTTGTCTAAACATTTCTCATCTTTGTTTGATTTCTACATAAACAAATAAAATAACCTCAAACAAAAAACAATAAAACAATTAATACCTAACAAAAATAAATTGATCTGCTTGCTTGTGTGCTTGTTTTATTTTCAAATACATATTATTACAGCAAACCCAGTGGCGGACCTAGGACCTTTGGGGCCCGACGCATAAAAAAATTTTGGGGCCCTATCATGTTTTTTTTTTAGTATTTTTCTTGTGGTGCTAGAGACAATAGCTGACGTCAAACACATAACCTCATTTTTGATAGGGGGACAAACAAAGAGTTTGTTTGTCTCATGGCCGTTTTCATCAACTATTTTAGGGAAGCCTTAACGATAAGTATTCCTCAAACTGATATTTCTCCATGGAAAACTTAGGAAAACTGTCATTTTAAGGAATACTACTTAAGGCTTCTCTAAAATATGTAGTTGGCGAAAACGGCCGTCAAGTTTGTTTGAGAGAGGTAGGTTGTCTGATAACTTCATGACGTCATCCGGGATGCCTGAACATAATGCAAATCTCCATAGGGTACCTCAGATGCCTCATCAAGTTACCCATTACCAGGCAACCTATCAACTTTAGGAACCTTGGTTAATGATATGTCTGTCCCCCGAAAAGTGACGTTATGTGATTTGTAATGTAATAGCTATCGCCTAACCGATGTGTGTAATAGTCCTTAAACGCTTTGTTTGTCCCTCTTTCGGAGGTGAGGTTATGTGTGTGACGTCAGCTAGTGCCTAATTGAAAAACAACTTTATTAAAAGTCAGGCAAATATAAATTTGCCGAAGAAAAGAATGCGGACAAAAATTTGACAGGTGTGTCAACTCCTCTTCTTTGACAGTACATCCATAAAGCGATTGGCTGCAGATGATTCAAATCCATTATCGCTACCTTTATAAAAACAAGTTTGACAAGGTTCACGATACAACCCACCAATCACCATGTTTGTCCACCATTTTTCTGCTCTTCGCTCCTCAGACGTCGCCGGCAAAATTAAATTTGCTAGACTGTAAGAACATATGAGACAATATGAAAACAAGTTGAACAAAAAAAATTATTATTTGTAAAAATTCAGGAACTTTCCATCCAAACAAAAAGAAATATAACATGTAGTAGTCTCCACCCCCACTTACGAAAAGATCAAAAAAGTAAAACATGCATCCCGCGCGTCCGCGGTTGCCACATCGCGTCGAACACAGCAGGATTCCTTAGAGGTATACAACGTTGCCGTAACTTTCAAAATTTAATTTTCGATTTTTTTCATATTCATGAGTGTTTTTTTTATTAATTTTTTTTATCAATGCCTTTAGAATCTGGTTGTGTGGGGGCCCCTCAGCTCTGGGGGCCCGACGCAGAGTGCGTCCTTTGCTTCATGTTAGATCCGCTACTGAGCAAACCCCTTGTTCATGCCTTTTCAGAAGAATATTTCTGAACAACATCTTCCTTTTTTTTAATATTCCTCTGCTATTCTGCTTCTTTGATGAAGTTTCATGCATACCTATTATGGATTAATAGCAAACCCAATACTAACGTATATTGGTGGTAGTCTGAATAAAAATGAAGTAAAGTACGTTTTTTTATTTAACACGCTTATATTAGCTTCACCTGTATGTATGTATGTTTGTATGTATGTATGTTTGTAAGTAACATTGAAAATGTTTATCGCACGGGCACATAGGGATGCGTGCGAACTTTTGGACCCTTGGGAAGTGTATGAACAAGAACCTGGAACAAGCCAAGTGAGCTGGAACAAGCCTGGATAAAGCCTGGAAAAGTCTGGAAAATGTCTGGAAATCTCTGGAAACGTCTGGAAAGAGCCTGGAAATTTCTGGAAATTTCTGGAAAGGGTCGGAAAAATTCTACCAAAGGTCCCAAAAGACCTGAGGATCTTTTTCCAGAATCCGGATCAGCCTGTACAAGTCTGGATAAGGTCTGGATAAGTCTGTATATTGTCTGTAAAAGTCTGGAAATCTCTGGAAACGTCTGGAAAAGACTTGGAAATTTCTGGAAAGGGTCGGAAAAATTCTGGAAAAGTTTCCAATAGACCTGGGGATCATTTTCTAGAATCGGGATCAGTCTGAAAAAGTCTGGATAAAGTCTGGATAAATCTGGATGAAGTCTGGAAAACTCTGGAAAGCTCTGGATAAGTCTGGATAATGTCTGGAAAAGTCTGGAAACGTCTGGAGAAGTCTGGAAACGTCTGGAAAAGGCCTGGAAACTTCTGGAAAGGGTTGAAAAAATTCTGGAGACCTGTATGTATGTATGTTTGTATGTATGTATGTTTGTAAGTAACATTGAAAATGTTTATCGCACGGGCACATAGGGATGCGTGCGAACCTTTGGACCCTTGGGAAGTGTAGGAACAAGAACCTGGAACAAGCCAAGTGAGCTGGAACAAGTCTGGATAAATCTGGATAAAGCCTGGAAAAGTCTGGAAAATGTCTGGAAACGTCTGGAAAGAACCTGGAAATTTCTGGAAAGGGTCGGAAAAATTCTCCCAAAGGTCCCAAAAGACCTGGGGATCTTTTTCCAGAATCCGGATCAGCCTGTACAAGTCTGGATAAGGTCTGAATAAATCTGTATATTGTCTATAAAAGTCTCGAAATCTCTGGAAACGTCTGGAAAAGACTTGGAAATTTCTGGAAAGGGTCGGAAAAATTCTGGAGAGGTCCCAATAGACCTGGGGATCATTTTCTAGAATCAGGATCAGTCTGAAAAAGTCTGGATAAATCTGGATGAAGTCTGGAAAACTCTGGAAAGCTCTGGATAAGTCTGGATAATGTCTGGAAACGTCTGGAAAAGTCTGGAAACGTATGGAAAAGGCCTGGAAACTTCTTGAAAGGGTCGGAAAAATTCTGGAAAAGGTCCCAAAAGACTTAGGGATCATTTTCCAGAATCCGGATCAGTCTGTACAAGTCTGGATAAATCTGGATGAAGTCTGGAAGACTCTGGAAAGCTCTGAATAAGTCTGGATAATGCCGTTGATAAAGATAAATGGTGCAAATATAAACAAAACACAAATAAGAATTAAAGTTTTTTTTTCAAAATAAAAAAATGAAAGACAAAATAATACATCGAACTAAAAAGTGAAAAATAAATATAGTTTAAAAAAACTGAAAAACACGCTTTTATAGTAAATTGAACTAAAAAGTGAAAAATAATTTTTAATATAAACAGAAAATATTAATGAACAAAAAATATTAGAATTATTGTGAAAAAAGCGTGTGGTGCTCAATGTACGAGAAATGTGGAACAAAGCACCCCACGTTTTTTTCACAATAATTCTAATATTTTTTGTTCATTAATATTTTCTGTTTATATTAAAAATTATTTTTCACTTTTTAGTTCAATTTACTATAAAAGCGTGTTTTTTAGTTTTTTTAAACTATATTTATTTAAAAATAATTCCCCAAGTCAAAAATTTAGTAACTTTGTTGGCAACACAAGCCTTTTCTGCACAAAAAATTTGAAAGCATTGACAATTTTACATTGTATTGCCAACATAATGTGATTTTGACTTTTATCTTTAAAAAAAAAACAGATTTTACTTGCTACTTCTACTTGTAGTACTTAGTATATTCTACGAAGTATTTACTTCACAACAAAGGATTTACTAATTTCCGGTAATTTCGAAATGTAGTATCTACTTCATTTTAAAGTAAACACTACGAAGAATATACTACTACTTGTCGTAGTAGCAGATACTTTGTTTTTTTTTCATACCTCCCTCTGTCTTTTCCATTGATAATAATTTAATTGTGCAATATAATTATCCATCCAGGCACACAGGAAAACAAAAACAAAAAATATGTTAGGTTAAGATCACATGTATTTGACATAAAACCGCATTCGGAATTCCGTTTCATGTGAACCATCAAAAATTACGATTTTCAAAAAACTGCGATTTCCGGACCCGCAATGCGGAATCCCGCACCATGAGAACTAGGCTTTAAAGCTGTTTTTAATAGATGGCAATAATAACTTATGGTTTTCCTCATTCATATGGTCTTTAATTTAATAATTATTTTTTATGATGCCACGCGAATCGCCTATTGGCAAAAGTCCCAGCACGCATCAGTTTGAAATAAACTGCTGGACAAATGGAGCGGAAAAAACGAGTTTAGGTTAACTTTAGAT